GGACTATATATCACAATATATCACATTTTCAGTGAATAAATAGTTTATATAACATGAGCACATAGAAATCTTATTACATTTTAAATATATACTGAAAAATAAAGGTACCTTCTAATATTTAACAAGTCAACAAGTCTCTACACGAGGCTCACAGAAATATAAATGCTGAGCAAATGCAAGGTATTGAAAATTTTTCTTTATCCATCTAATTGGTCACATATCAGTTAATGTGTGCAGTAACTGTGTATTAACTTACTTTAACTGATGATCTATTCAGTGTGAACTAATCACAAGTTAGTTGTGTCAGCTGATCGCCTCAAACAGTCGTAACACATTATACATAAAGTGCTGAAGATAAAGCAATGAAAGGGAAAATCACTTCCTCTTAATGTTGGTTTTGCATAAGCAGACACATCAGAGAATAATCCGGTCCAGCCAGTTACTCATAGAAAGGTTGTATCGGATCCTCTGAACAATAAATACAGTATCTGTGTGCACACTGTGGCATTGGAACCTGCAACCTGCGTTCACACAGCTGGAAATAAACTAATGAGTGACAAAGCAACATTACCATGAACATTTGTCTGCTTCATGTTCAATGTTTTATTACTTAGTTATATTTATTTGATTGGAATACGATTTCATTAATGTCTCAGTATTTGGACAAACTCTTTATCGATGTGTTTTTACACATTGCGGAAAGTTACACTGAATTATTATTATATATTACGTTTTTAAATAAGGAAAACGTTAAGTGAGTTATTAGTGTTTCACAAAATGGAGTTCACCGTAAAGCCAATACAGATCAAACAAAACAGCATTTGATTCTCAGCATTACTTTTTCTGAATTAACAAGCTGGTTTAAGAAAAACATTTTACTGTAACAGTCTGAGATTGTTTACCCACATCAAAAAGCAGGAAGAGCTGAATCCAGCACTGTTTCTGTTCACTAAAGCAGGACAATCTCACCTGTAACCCCCACCGCAGGGAGAGAAGACAGCAAAACCACAATAAAGAACTCCATCATGATCCCTGGATGAAGAACAGACACAGTGGATCTCAGCGAGCTCATGTCACACTGTGTGAAAGATTAAGATGAAAGAAATATGCGCTCCAGCTGAACTCTCTCCGACCAAGAACAAACTTTAGTTTCACTTTCTCCGTGCTGTGAGGCAATAACTGCCAGCAGATGACTCATTTGTATTCAAACACATTGAAGGGCTCCAGGTTTTTCTGCACGCATTCAGTTTGACTGTTTATCTGAAGACACAAAATTAAAACTGTGATGACTGTAGCTTTTTAAATATTGGAACAAATGTGGGCCAGTGTGGCAGGGAAGCTGACAATAAATTAGAAAATAACCACATGATACAAATATACATCATCTTTATTTCATTGTTATAAATAGTAACCATAAAAATAATGAAACAGGAGGTTTATACATAAAGTGCACTAACCTCAGCACAATTGCAAAAAAGCTTTTACATCAGGGCCTGCTGCAGCTCAGGATGAACAATAACATACAAAGCGTTAACATTAATAGAAAATGTACAGTTTTGCTGCCTCTGAACCTGGGGGTTGGGACCCCCAAGAGGTTCATTAGTTAATTTCCAGGGGGTCGCCGTATAGTTGTAGAGAATAAAATAAGATATTGTGACATCCAGCGTGGAATGAGAGAATGAGAGCTCTTAGCAATGACATTGAACACAGGGGACCAGAACTTAAAAACACTGTATAGGCTATAAACTCTGTTTTTATACCTGTTAACAGGCCCAGTTTCCTCATGAGCATTTATTTCTATCTTTTATTGAGCTCTTAGGCCTAAAGCAGACATATTGACTGTTGTTATTTCAATAAATAAAAAGCATGTATTAAAGCCAAAATGTAACCAGTCCTCCTCTTCCTCCTCTGATGTCTCTGCCCAACCTGGTGTGTCCCATCCTGCTGTTCATCCTCTACAATGCCATACTCATCTTCTGTATATACACGTACAGAAGGTGGGCTCGAGGTAAGAACACTTCTCAAAACCCTAATAATAACAGAAAGTATTGATCTGCCGGCCACCTCCACAAGGGGTCAGAGGTCAGGGCCAAGCTTACTGGATTTGTCCAGATACTCTGCAACCACTCTGACCAGAAGGGACCAGGGCCCTGTGTCTCAAAGTCCACCTTAGTCTGTCTCTGTCTGGGTTTCCTGGCTGCACTTATCCTAACCTCGGTGATCTTGTACAACCAGTATCATAAAGCTGGTTATCAGCCGGCACTGGCTAAAATGTTCAGTTAAAGTTAAATTGATATTCTGAGCTGCAGTCGTCACTTTAGTCTCTGTCAGGAAACTGTTGGAAGGATGATTCAGTTGTTCCAGTGATTTGATTGGTCAACAGTCTGCCTATTGTTGAAGTTTGCCCCCAGGCAGGTTAGCTGTGCAGCATAGGTTTCCATAGTGACATACCTCAGTAAAAACTGGGCCAGTTTGAGATACTGGACAAACTGGACATACTGGACAAACAGGCTGCACCCAACCTGGGTGCAGCCTGTTTGTGGCTGACGAGGTGAGGTTGTCACAGTAACAATAATAGAAAGCAGGAAGTGACAGCAAAGCTAAACGTTCTGTTCACACAGACTCACTGTGCCTGAGTCTCAGGGCCGGTGACTGACGGGTGTGGCAAAGCAGGGATTTTAACTCATAGTTAAAATACTTTCTTTGCTCTGTTCTCCTGCAGCTCGAGCTGATGCTAAAAGGGGAGCTGCAGGAATCTGATCATGTCCTACTGGAATAACAAGGAGAAGAAGAAGAGGAGGAGGAGCTACAATTTGTGACATTGTACAGTTTGTACAGTATGTTGGCCAATATGACGGGGAAAAGGCAGTATTCATTTTCATATATATTATTTAGTACATGTTGTATTTGCTTATTTGTATTATGTCTTAGCTACATGTTGCTTCCATGGTTTATGTAAAGATCCACTCCAGATGTGCATTAATATACAAATAGTCTGCTTGGAACAATAAAGTGTCTCTGATGTGTTTTTATCCATAAAAAAGAAAATAATTTCCACAATAAAATAAACACTAGAATTCTTAAAAGAAAATCTATGAATCTGCAGTTTTGTTCATTTCATCAAGTTTTCCTGTTGGACACAAGATGTCTCCTACTTCACTGTAGATCCATTCTCAGTGTCTGTGCACTGGTGGCTTCACTTGTATAAGTTGCAGACTGGACCAGCCAGTGCTCACAGGTACTGAGGACTTGTGATTTCTGTCCACATGAGCACCCTTACTTCTGACTGTGTGGTGCCACCTCCTGGTGAGTCTAGGTATATACCCCTCAGCCCCCTCATAAGAACACTCCTCTGATTGGCTCGTGTTCATTGCCTTCATTGGTTTGGTTGGTTAGGTTCAGAGCCATATAGAAATGGTTACAGTTAGAAAAAATAAATGTGAGGGGCAGAATAGGGGGAGAATACAGGGGGTAATTATTGCCTGTGTAACTGTGTCTCTTTGTAAACACATAGCTAGTTTAATGCAGAGAAAACAGCAAAAGTATTGGTTACAGGTAAAAAGGCCATAAACAACAATCACAGTTTCAGGAGGACATTTCAGTCTCTCAGTGTCCAGATGTTTCAGTTTATGAAACTGAAACATCTGGACACTTGAGTGTTCTGGTATAAAACTAGAACCATTTTATATATACAGTATAGTTCTTTTCAAAATAGATGTTTAAGTAGAAATAAAGCTAGATAACATGAGGCACACTACAGTCTGATCATTCACAGCAAATATCAAAAAGAACTTCTGTCATTTTTATATCACTTTGTTGGAAATTCTGGGTTTTTTTTAACGTTCCTGCACACGTACCTCAGGTCGACATTGTTCTTAAACCTTTCACAATATATTCAACCAACAAACACTTGAACAATATTTATGTCATTTACAAGTTTTTACAATATTTACAGATCAGAGTGAAGTGTAGATTTTGATGATGACAGCGCCACCATGATGTCAAACAGGACAAGTTACCTGCTATCATCATCCAGTTTACAGTGAATACACATGTAAAGCTCTCACATATCTTCAGTCTGTACTGACTGTATGAACCTTTAGAAAAACACATTTTGACATTTTGACATCAGAACATCGTCAAAGACAAACAAGAACACCAGAGAGTTCAGTGTTTAACTGGATGAAATGGATGAATGAGACAGGGTGGAATATAGTCCCAGTTACTAAAGACTCAAAGTATGCAATTAATACTGAAGGTACCTGATACAAAAAGTAATTCTCTATTGTTGGTAGCTGGGTTAAAGAATGAAGGGTTATCATAAAGTACTAGTTTCTAACATTCTGTTGATCACACGTAGTCTCACAGTTTTGTCTCAACATCATTGTCCTCAGCGTTGTCCTTACTGGCCCCATCACTGGACCCAACATTGGTCTCAGGGTTGTCCTCTTGTCCTGCATACAAAACAAGTTATCAGTCAGTGATTCCCACACTGAGTACAGACTGACAGACTGGTACAGCAGAAAGGTTGGATAGATGGATGCATGTGAATGTTTGTGTGTTTAACCATTGAAACAGCAGGGGCAGATAGAATGTAGACTGATATTGGAATTAGAAAAGACAATTAATTACTTACTGGTATTTATCTTGAGCATAGGCATTCTCTCAACATTGTCACCAACATTGGACCCAACATTGGCCCCAACATTGGACCCAACATTGGCCCACACATTGGACAGAACATTGGCCCCAACATTGGACCCAACATTGGCCCAAACATTGTCCTCTTGTCCTGAACACATAACAACAACACAAAACTAGTCAGTGTTTTCTGTTGGTACAGCAGAAAGGTCAGATAGATGAATGCATGTCAATGTTTGTGTGCTTACTCACTGAAACAGCAGGGACAGATAGAATATAGACTGATACAGGAATCAAAGACATGAAACATTTATTTGAAAACATTTATAAACATGAAGACAGAAGAAGATTTGTGACTTACTGGTATTTCTACACAACCCCCATAATACAACAACAAAGGAAATGACAGTTCCAGCAATGATGACTACAGCAATGCCAATTATAGCAGCAGTGTCATTACCTGAGAGAGCAGAGGAAAAATGTCCAGGTTACTTCTACACTGTTGGTTCCATCCATTTTATCCTCCACTTAGTCAGTTTGTTAGAGTCTCTCATTTATCATTTAGAATATTCTCCTGAAAAATACTGAACCAACTCATGTAACGTCTTTTGGGCTGTAAATTGCTTCACAGTTATAAAAAAAAAGTTGATCTGGTGAACTTCTGGTTTATTTACACAGGCAGCAGTTACGGAGCAACATGATGATTTGTGTTTGTGTCACCTGATGAATGGAAGTCCAATATTCACTGTCTTATAGCTCTGTCTTTGGTCTCCTGAGGGAAATATCTGGCTCTTTAGCTGCTAAAGGCTTCACTGTGTCCACTAATTGTCTGCCTGTTGTTTGCAGTGTACGGAGGGTTTATTGGAGCTTTTTTACTGTATAACAAATAATGGATTCAATATTCAACAGTTTCTTGTTGTAATGAAGGATGAGTGACACAGGAGTTTGTACATTGTACTCACCAACATTCTCTGGCTGTCTGTCTGTGGAAAACAAATTAAATAAAACATGTGAGGAAACCACCAGGACCAACAAGAAGAGCAGATGACAGTTAATGGGGATACAAATAAATAAAAACTCTGATATTTACTCACTGTTTTTATGGGTCGGACTTCCTTTGTCCTTTTTCTGCTCGACTGGCTCTGTAGGACATGTTAATTGTTAAATTGTGTTTAAGAGCTAAAATACTTCTAGCAACTAACTTTTTTTAACATTTATGTGTAATATATTAGCTGTACTCACCAACAGTGAGGTTAACGAAGCCTTTCCTGACCTGACTTTGCAGTTTGGGAACAAAGCAGGTGTAACTTCCAGCATCCAGTTCAGTTATGCTGGTCAGTTTTAGTGAAATGTTTCCTCTGATCATTTCTTCATGGAAGAGAGATGTTCTTCCTCGGAAGTTCTTGTCCTGAAGACGTGGATCATCCTTCCTGTTTGTATAGATGTGCACGATGGTTTCACCGCGTTTCCACTCCACTGTTAGATTCCTCACATTGAATGGAGGCTCCAGGTGACATGGCAGGATGACGTTATCACCGACTGTTACTGTAACTGGTTTGTCTGAGCCAATCACATCAGAGTCTGCAGAGAAACAAGGAACTCTTACACAAAGCACGCCAGGCTGTTCTGGTAAAGGTACTAACAGGTTCTCAATCATTCTGTGTTCAGTTACAGAACACTCAGTCACTTTTGATGACAATAACAGAGACAGCAAAGAAACCTCAGTGAACCGAGCATAACATGAGCTCTGCACCAAACAGAAGAGGAAAATTAAATAGCAGCAAACACGAATGAATCAGTCCCCAAGTTTGCATCTAGTTGTAGCGCACATTCTGACCACATTTACAGACAATCAGGCTTACTATTCAACAACACAGAACTTATATAGACCTTGTCTGCAGTTGAAGGTGTCCTGTCAACAGTTTAATGGTTTAATTCCATGCCACAAAATTAACCTTAATGTTGTGTTAAAGGCCCCGGGCCCTCTCTTAAACAGCTCAGAGAACATGTTTAACATTTATTTAATCAACTTCATTCTTTATTTTTTTGTTATTTTTTGGCCTTTTTCATGCCTTTATTTAGTTACAGCTGAAGATCGTCAGGAAAGGGGGGTAGAGAGAGAGAGGGGATTACAGGCAGCAAAGGGCCGCAGGTCGGATTCAAACCTGGGCCGCTTCAGCAATTCCGTATATGGGTCGCCAGCTCTATCAACTGAGCTAACGGGACACACCTTCATTCTTTATTTTTTAATACTTTGACTGATTTCTTCCTATATTCCACACAATTGCTCCCAACATCACTGTAACCTCTTTACTAACTGCCAATCAGCTTCCTGTGAGATTCATCATCATCTCCAGTTTCTTCTCCTCGCAAACTCTGGACTTCCTTCCTTTCACTGAGATAGATCACACCAGAGATCACCTCCAGCCCCCCGCAGCCCTCTCCTCAGCCTGCTGACAGAGGGTGAGGGTGCTGGTTTGGTAATCTCTCCCAAACAGAGAGAGTTTCCTACTTCCACACTTCTTCCTTTGAATGTCACACTGTTGCCAGGGAATTGCTGGTGTCGTCAGACGTATTCCTATTGACAATCCCTGAACACTGCCCCCACTGGTACAGACTCATTACCCCACTGTGTTCATGCGTGTCAGCTGTCACAGCTCGGGAACTACAGATGCACATAGAGGAGGAAGCAGGATAATTTCAGTGATTTATTGCGGAAATGGTTCACAGGCTCATGCACATGACTCCACATAGCAGCAGGATGAGAGATAACAGGCTCGAAAGCAAGATATGAGCAACAGAGCAACTTTATGAACTGACAGAGGGACAAAGGAAGTGGATTGATGTAAGCAGGGAGTGGCTGATGAGGGAATGAGGTGATTGCAGGGCAGATTGGAGCAGCATATGTGGATGTGACTTTACACAATACAAATAAAGAAACACCATTTGTGGACAGTCTTCTGTGGGTTACAACTATTAAAGCTGCAGTCAGTAACCTTTATAGAAATGATGGCAGTCGTTTGCAGCGTGTTTCCTAAATGCTGCATGTTGTCAGATTATTACGATGTTGTCGGCCACCGTCGCTGTAACTGTTTAAACAGACAGATTCAGTGTTTTTCTTCCATATTTATTAAGATATCTGTCAATAAACAAACAAATTCACGTACAATTTTACTGCTAACTGTCACTAATTTAACAGAATTTTAGAAATGTATTTACAGAATTAAACTTTAACAGTTTAATATGTTCAAGTAAATATCTGCAATAAAAAGATAGATTTACAAATGTTATTTGAGATTTTATTCCTGCGACATTAAGTTAAACAAACAAATGATTATATAATTGCTCGTCCTTAAAACACACACATCTGATGAAAACTGGGTCCTCTTACTCTGAGAAATTTACTTTATGTGATTTAAAGGTTTATCTGAATCTAATAATGGCCGGAATATTACCGGTTAATTAAAGAGTTAAATGAAGAGTCTTCAGGAGCGATTTTATGAAGAAAATAAAAAATTAAAAACCGACCTGCGTCCACCAGAGAGAGAGAGGACATCAGAACCAGCAGCAACTTCATCTCGGCCGCTGGATAAAGACTGTTATCATTAGTAGCGGTCTACCGTCCTCCGACTCTGTCTTTACTTTCACTTTCACCTGAAGGAAGAAGGCTATTAATGCCAGCGCACATTTTATTCTGAAGGGCTACATTTTGTTTAAGGGCACTGCTGTTGTTAGGCTGTCTAACGCTGTTTCATACACACACTGTCTACCTGCTGTGGTATCAGCATTATCGATCCGATCGGTGGTTACTCCCTATTTATACCCACAGGCTGAGTAACCGGACACACTGTGGAGACTCACAGCGCTCCCTCCCCATGCTCAGTGGATGTTCCCCACATTATAGCCCCCCCCGCTTCCTACAGTGTGATGTCTGAGCTCCCCTGTATTCACTGAATGATGGACGGAGAGTGGAAAGTTTCCAGCTGGAGTGGCAACCTCGGACTTTCTTTAAGAGGCGGGGCCTACTCGATGGTTAATAAAAGAGGGAAGAAAGAAACTGGGGGACTGCACTTCAATCCCCTCCCCTCCCCTCCCTGTCCGGTCAGTCCTAGAAAGAATGAAGAGAAGGACAAGAAAAAGACAAAGAAAGGGGAAAAGGAGAGGGAGGAGAAGGGCGAAAAGGAGGAAATGAACAAGGGGGAGAAAAAAAAAAGTAACAAAGAAGGATAAGAAGAAGAAGGAAAAGAAGGAAAATAAGGAGAAAACTAAAGAAAAAGAAGAAGAACCAGCCGAGATTTGTATGATTGACTTGGTGAACTCCATGCTCGGTGTCCAGGTCCTGTTCTGGACTTTGGTTCTGTGTTTGGGTCCGACAGTCTGCGCATCAGATGGAGGTAAACTCTGCTTCAGTCTCTGTCCGGATAACCTGGGCCTAACAATCTTGTGCTGTGTGTGAATATATTGTGTGAATATATTGTCAGCTGTGACTCTCACATAAAGCACACACCGCTGCAGAAGTCTATGGTGAATGGTAGAAAAGCTCTGCGCCTGTCTGCGTGCGGAAGGGCGCACTGGCTGCATGTGTGGAGCGTGTGGAAGAAAAAAAAAGTTGCCTGATTTTTTGCGATTTTCTGCCGAGTAGCTGCGACTGTAGGGTGGATTGTGGTCTGTCACAGTGCGGGTGTTTCATTTCGCTCCACTTTTTTTGAACCAACCTGGCAACCCTGCTTATAGGAGGCTCATTTACCGTAACGTGACCGCAGGGGCGCGCCTGCTTGTTCATGGGTGCAGTGTGCTGGCAGTCTAAGTTCGACCAATTACAGATATTTACCAAGGCTTCATTGTTACTGTTCATTATAAGCCTTTATATCCTGACCTGCAGTGAGTCCCCCACAGTCTATGTCTAATAAATATTTCATTATCAATGACCTTGATTTTCGGTTTCTTACCAAAACCCAGTTACACATTTTTGAATTCACCATGACCAACAGGCCGGGGTGGGGGTATTGCAGTTGCCATTATCAGCCTCGGCTCTTTTAACAGTTTGGAAATCTCAACTTTTAAAATTGTGCGTGAAGACTCCATCTTACTGGTGACTTTAACATTCATACTGACAAAACTTCAAATCCATTTGCCACAGACTTTTTAAACATTTGTAAACATTTAACATTGTGCAGCACATCTCCGGCCCCCCTACTTAGTTTTTACTCAGTCTCTTAATCCCCTGAATATGCATGATTTTGTCTCTGACCACATATTAATGCTAAAGTTAGCTGGTTTAATAATCAATGTACACCAGCCCTTGGTTTTTCCACTACAATTTTCTTGATAGATTACAGAACTGGGTTGGCATTTCCTGTACAGCCTTAAACTGGTTTTATTCCTATTTGACTGATGTAGTCTTTAATGTCTGCCTTAATAATCATGTTTCCTCCTCTGCTCCCCTGCTGTGTGGTGTCCCACAGGGGTTGGTTCTTGGTCCAGTTCTGTTCTCCCTGTACATGCTCCCTTTGGGTCACTTTGTCACTGCAGTTCAGTTTATTGGACCATTACGCACTAATATCAAGCCCACTGCAGAAAGAATCTGGGAATTATCTTTGACCAGCATATGACATTTGACCTTTCGTCCAGTCCTGTTTCCTGCAGCTACGAAATATTGCAAAAATCAGACACTTATTGTCCTCCAGTGATCTCAAACAATTAATGCCTACATTTTTTTTCTGTTTGATTACTGTAACTCCCTCTACACCCGCCTCAGTCAGGCTTCCTTAAATTGTTTACAGTTAGTGCAAGTATTAGTGTTTACTTATCTCTGTCATGTCTCTTTTAATTCATTTGGTTAAAGCCCCACTTAGTGGAAAAGTCACGCCACTGCAATAAGAAAATAACTTAATTTTTCCTTATCCTTTTCTATCACTGAGTAAACTGACAAGGTGACCTGTTATATTGATATTTCATATTATGTTCAATGCAAAACAATAACAGTAGAAAACAACAGATAAACTTTATACATATAACACAGTTCTAAATACTTAATAGGCTTCTTTTTTGACAAATCCAGTTTTTTCTTCTCCCTGACATTTGCACATTGTTCTATCAGCTCTTTTCTGAATCAGGACGAGGCTGTTTTTAGTGAAAGCTCTGTAAATAAAGCTTGTGTTCAACTCTTCAAAGTTTATCAATAATGGGTTAATGCTGAATGAAATGAAATGATAGTGAAATGCTGAGATAGTTTTTTTTAACATGAACATAAAGCAAATCAGATTAAAGACTTCACTCCATTTCCAGAAGGTTAAAATTGTTCCTCCATTTCTCAGGTCGTCCTCAGGTGGTCGGTTCTCGTCAGCCAATCGTGGCTGCTCTGGGTGATGATGTCATCCTGCCGTGTCATGTGGAGCCTCCACTCAATGTCAAGGAAATGACGGTGACTTGGTGGAAGCATGACCCTGAAGACCCTCAGTGCAAAAACAAGTATGTCCACCATTACCAGGATAACCAGGACGTAGAGGACATGAAGCTGTCAGCATACGTTGGGAGGACGACTCTGTTCACAGACGGACTGAAACACGGCAACGTTTCACTCAAGATCACCAACCTGAAGCTGTCTGACCAGGGAATATACACATGTTTCATCATAGAGTTAAAGACCCAACAGAGGGGAGCAACCATTGTGCTTGATGTTGGTAAGATTAAAAATTACACCAAAATACACATTTTATCATTTACACATCAGCCACAGATTTACAGTCATTCTTAATGTTAATAGTCAATATCAGTTTTCCACGGAAGCCCTAAAGGGCCATGTATTCACGCATTTTATTTCCTCTGTTTTCCCATGATAACGAGTTAATTATCTCGAGATCTCGAGATAACGACTGTGATATGATAACTGCGGTCAAGCCAGCAGTAAAAAATAAAAAACTTAATATCAAGCATTTCTACTGCACCTATGTGGAGAAATGCCCAAATATGTTTTTACCTCCAAGTGGCATATTGTCATATATTTAAGGTACAGTAAAAGCAGGTACAAATATGGAATTTTATTATTGAATTTCTCCACCTTGTTGCAGTATAAATGCTTGATATTAAGTATACTGGTATTCTTATATGTGTAGAAGTCAAATATACCATCCATAGCCAGGAATTATTGAGCAATATGTTTTTACAGTACCTCAAATATATGAAAAGATGCGACTTGGAGGTACAAATATGGAAATTTTGTTTTGGCATTTCTCTACATTGGTGCAGTAGCAATGTTTGATATTTAGTGTTTTTTATTCATCAGGGGCGCATGAAAGACTTTAATGTAACATATTTTATTTTAAATGTAGGTTATAGCTTACTGTTCTTAATACATTTATTTTGAAAACTGGAAGTTAATACACTGTACATTTAAGTGCGGCTGATTTGACCACGGAGATCGGAGTAACGGTTGGCTTGACCGCAGTTATCATATCACAGTCGTTATCTCGAGATCTCGAATTAATTAACTAGTTATCTCGGGAAAACGGAGGAAATAAAATGTATGATTACATGGCCCTTTACGGCTTCCGTAGTTATCCTTTCTTACACTAGAACTCAGCTCTCATAAACCACAGACATGTCTGAACACGACATGTAGCAGACTCACTTTGCTTAGTTTGGTTTTGAGAAGGACTAGTTCCATGAAGTATATTAGCTGCTGCATTGCTTGACTTTTACACAGCTGGACTTCGGTTTCCTTTCCTCTGGGTGTCCTTTTACGATTTTCACGTGTTTGCGTGGCAACAGCTTGACATTCTCCTTTACCTTCCAACCAGTTAGAGAAGTCTATGGTTATATGGAATGCCTGGTTTTGTAGCGTGAGTGAATCTGGCCTATTTAGCAACAAGCTCAGAAGGCAGTTTTCCCTAACTCTGCATCTTCTTCACTATTTTCCATTACTGCAGCATACCTGCAAAAATGTAGACTCAGATGGCAAAGTCGCTGAACCTTCTCGATTTGACAAATCAAAAGGCCGGCGTCCTATAGTTCTTGTATCTTTTTAATATTGTGTTGAAAATCATTGCAAATATTTGTTGTTTTTCAGAACCAAACTCCGTTAAAATGATGACACCAAATCCCACAGATCCCCAATCTCCAGATCCTATGAATGGGATGGATATTAAAGGTGAGAAAGAGGTCCTTTAGATTTAACAATATACTAAAACATGCTTATATTTGTGTTTCGAGTAAATTTTAGTTGCTTTTGCCTGTTTGCTTTCTTCATCAGCTGGTCGTTGCCATCTTGGCGCTCTGATCCCGTTTTTTGTCTGGGTCTTACTGATCCTGTGTGGTGGAGTGTCAACAACAAAATGTGAGTCAGAAGGAAACCTTGTTGTGTAAATCATATCAGGCGGTGGATGACTAATTATTAAACTTCTGTTCATTGTCCCTCCAGCTTGCCCCAAGTCAGCCACTTCTAGGTTCGGGGTGTCAAACCAGCAGCATGTTCAGGTACAGGTGAACCAGCTGGATCAGCAGCAGTGACACCTGAGCAGGTGAGCCGAGTGGAGTCCACCCAGGTAATGCCGCAGTAATGTGGCCCCCAGCTGTGTGGAGGACTCCATCATCTTTAACCTGATCCTGATCCCGGAGGACTTGGACTCCTTCCACTTGCAGAAGTTCTTGGATGATTCTTTAAAATGTATGATTTGTTAATAATTGTGGGTGGCTGTGGCTCAGAAGCAGAGTGGGTCGTCCACTAATTTGAAAGTTGTTGGTTCGATCCCCGGCTCCTCCCGTTGCATGTCGGAGTATCCTTGAGCAAGATACTGAACCCCAAATTGCTCCCGATGCTGCGCCATCGGTGAATGAATGAGTTACTTTTTGCTCGCTGGGCTTTGCCATCGCTGTGTGAATGTGTGTGAAAGGGTGAATGTGGCATGTAGTGTAAAGCGCTTTAAGTGGTCGGAAGACGAGAAAGGCGCTATACAAGTACAATCCATTTACCATAATAATGGGTTCACTATTTCCCATAGGATGGCTGTTGGGGGTTTGGGTCGCCAATATTAAGCTATTGGAAGTATTTAAGATAAGATGTAGACACAGATGTAGACACAGCAGCATAGGGGAATATAGTGTAATAGTAGAGAAGTGGAAGTACAATAAAATAAGAATATTACAAATATTATTATAATTACAAATATTTGAGCAGCTTTGACTAAAAACCAAACTGTACATGTGCAATATTTGAAAGACCAGCTTATTTTATTTGTATTTCGTATTCCACTATTTAACTCTCTAACTACTTTACTCACCTTGCTTTGCATCGGCATGTGAATGGATGAATGGGTGAGTGTGGCATGTAGTGTAAAGCGCTTTCAGTGGTCGGACGACTAGAAAGGTGCTATACAAGTACAGTCCATTTACCATTTAATAGGATCATGGTTGCATATGTGTGAAGGTGCGTTTTATTCGGTTATGGTGCTCCGACATAATTTTGGTGAAGTACTCTTTTATCACTATTTCAGCCTTGCTATTATGACTCATCTTCTACAGCATGGCTGTCTGTCTTTGTTTGATTTAGGGTCAAATGTGCTGTGCATTTCACTTTTACTGGTCTTTTTAAAGCTGCATTCTTTCACTTTTTTGCCACTGATGTTACATCATGTTACATCTGATTGTGATGGGAGGGCCTGCTTTGATAATCTTGCATTGGGGCCCTACGCTGACTCACACACACACTGGCTTGACCCGCCTCTCTCTTTTTATCTCTGTATGTGTCTCTGTTGAGTTTTAGCTTTGTCTATGCAATGTAAATATAGGTTTACAGGCTCTGACTGCAGTTTGGAATGACCTCTGCACCAGATGATGTGTTCACTGCCGTTCAACTGGCTTATCCTCGATGTTACCCCATAAACCTCCAATACTCCAGTCCTCCGCACACAGTCAGTGGAGATAAACGCCAGCACATTGGGAACACGGCGGTGACAGATTGTGTGAGGCTCATTGCGGAGGGCGAGGGTGTTCAGAGACCGTAAGATTCCTATAGTTTACCCCCTGTGATTAAATATATAAATAATGCCAGCCGCTACGGCCAGAATGCATTTATGTTCACATTTAATCATTCTAAAGAGGATTGCTGCAATTCCTTATTATCAGGGCTACTTGTGGTTCCTATAGTCTCTAAAAGTAGAACAGGAGCCAGAGCCTTCAGTTACCAAGCTCCTCTCCTGTGGAACCAGCTTCCAGTTGTGGTTCGGGAGGCAGACACCCTTAACACAGAGTAGGCTTAAGACGTTCCTCTTTGATAAAGCTTATAGTTAGGGCTGGATCAGGTGAGTCCTGAACCATCCCTTAGTTATGCTGCTATATGCCTAGACTGCCAGGGAATTTCCCATGATGCACTCTCATCCTCTCTCTCTTTCTGCACACATTTATGTCCCATTAATGCATGTTACTAACTTCACTTCTTCCCCGGAGTTCTTGTGCTTTCTCGACTCGCAGGTTCTTATCGATCCTGCTAATATTAATAGCATAGTTGTTTCTGTTGTTCTTGCTGTCCGTCTTTGTCTCTGTCCGTCTCTCTTTACTCGTTTTTGGTAAATGTTTTAATGTTCCAATGTTTCAGTGCAATAATGATAATACATTAAATATCAACAGTTAAAAAGTAACAGTAATTTTTTGGGACAGATATTTTTTACTTAAGTATTTTAAGAACGGTACGTTTACTTGTCAGTAATATTTCAGTAATATACTTCTACTTGGGTACATATGTTCAGTACTCCTTCCACCACAGGAGATTTGTGTTTACAGATGCAGTACCTGCCTCTCCACAGGCTCTTAATTGAATTCAGTTCCTTGAGACAAACATCCATTTGTTTGGCTACTTCAACATTAAATGAGGTTTTTAATGTAGGGTAAGTCATTCCACAAAGTATTAACCTGAAGGATTGAATGTTTGTCCTGACAATTGTCCCCAGGGTGCCCCATAAAATATCTGATTTTAAGGACTGGTTGCAAACAGTTCTTTTTTACTAATTTGATTATTGTTCCTTTGTTACAAGCCTCTATGATGATATACAATTAAGCAATAAACATTTTGGACAGTAAGACTGTCCAAAAAAAGTTTTTAGGAAGTTAAAAATATTGGAGTTAGTAATTTAAGATTAGTCTATAAATGCCTAATTAGGCTCCCCAGTGGCCTCCACTGGGAGCGTCAGGCTCAGTTACACATGGAGCACCCGGTGGGAGTTGTTAGGTGCCCTTACGTAAATCCCCCTTTGGATAAACTGTTTTTTCTATTTGGGATATTAAAATGTGGAATTATTAACCCGGGAAACTCAAACTGGATCTTGACTGGAAGTTAAAACGAACCAGTTTATGAAGAGGGATCAGTGATGTTGCATGAATGATCTGGTGTCCTGTTTTATGGTGCCATAATGTATTATTTTGTGTTTTTTTTTTTAATGCACATACTTTATTTTGTACTGTTTCTTGTGTATTTGTTGAGTTGTATGTATTTAAAATGCAAGGCTAGGGAGGAACAAAGCAACTTAGATTAGGCTGTAAATGCTGTGGTGCAATTTAATAAATAAAATATATATTGTTTACCTGCTTACTGAATTACTTTGTTCATTCTAGGACTACATGTGAAAAATAAACTTTTTTCCCAATGTGCACAGTCCCTGCTAAACCATGAGGGTGACATCTGCTGGTCAAGCATCAGAATTAAATTTGTATGGAGAGAAAACCTCATCATGAAACAGTCAAAATACAACTGAACCTGCAGGTACCATCACTGATATTGTTCAATTCTGTTCAAAGGAGGTAAAAAGAAATGATTAACAAAAATGTGAGCAAACACCAGAGAACACACAAAGGTTTGTGTGTGATATTAAATCCAGCATACACAATACATAACATCTTGTGTGTATAAAATAACTTGTAGATCTAAATGCTCACTAGATGGCGCTAAACAACAATATAAGATGGCTATAAGTTGGTCAAGCTGATCACAGAGCTGTTCATATACTTACAGTCATTAACAATCATTCACAAAGAACAAACACCACCACCTCCGCTCAGAAATGCTTGAGAAAATAATAATTTAATACGGAAATACGCAGCTGTGATAACAGAGTGAAGTTATGATGAGAGCTCTTATTGAAAGACGGTAAAGAAAAACAACACAGAATGTCATATTTACATTTTCATCATATATATGTATTTAATGAGATAAATAGTAAAACAATATTGCTATTGTTCCCAGTAGCTTTGGCCAGTATATACACAGGCTGTTTAATGCGAGTGACAAACTGCTTGGTCTTCCTTGTTTTCTTCATCATATTGGTACGAGATGATCAGAAGCACCAGCTCGAGCTGCAGGGAAACCATTGTTGTTGGAGTTAATCATACTAATAATCATTTTCTACAAGAATTGAATTACACATAAGGAACATGTGACAGAACTTTTACTCTCAGCTTGTTACAGCCACAACCAGAGGCTCACGTCATCCACTCAACAACATGGTGCGCAACATGCAGAGGCGTTCACACATTCTTTACACTTTGTCATTTCTACTGGATGTTTCTGTGCAAAGCTATCTGAACTCAACTAAAGGAGACGGTGCATCATCTCCATAGCAAAGACTCGCTGTACATCCATTCTTACTGTCAGATTTTCGGACCCATTGTATCTCTGCCATTTCTTCCAGATGACAGTTTGTAACTGACTGCGCTGTATTTTAATTGGCAGGTTACGTGCCTCTTCTAAAACCAGCTTTTAATGTTCTTCTGGCTGTGTCAGACATTCATACTCTATGTTATTTTCCAAAAGTTCACAACTTCCTTGTGGCTGAAAAGGTCAATAGAGTTGTCCCCGCCCTCTGACCCATTGTGGAGGAGGCCAACAGAAAAGATGATCAATGTATTCTGTTATTATTCAATTTTCAGAGGTGTTCTTACCTCGAGCCCACCTTCTGTATATGGATATACAGAAGATGAGTATGGCAGTGTAGAGGATGAACAGCAGAATGGTACACACCAGATTGGGTAGAGACAGGAGAGGAGGATGAGGAGGAGGAGGAGGAGTGGTTGGTACATTTATAGGCAGAGCTCTGGCTGTGAGGTTGAAAACATGTGTTATTACAAAAAGTGCCATGCTACTCAACAAGAGGACATACATAAAGGAGAGAAACTGTCTCATCTAAATGAATGTTTATGTTAAGGAGTACTGTTTATGGGAGGCAGAACGTCGTGTCACCTCTCACAGCCAGCCAGCTTTGCTCTGACTTTCCTTTTCCGGGGTATTCGCACTCGTAGAAACCTTCGTCAGACTTGGACACCGATTGAAGGATCAACTCTCCTTTCTCAGTACCCTGGAAAACATTATCTTTGTAGAACGTAGCAGAGAAATCTGAAGTAGGGTCATCTCGGTCTCCTTTCCTATAGGAACAGCGAAGTGTCACTTTATCTCCCACTGTCACAGGAAGTGCAGGGCTCTCCAGGATCACAGCACCAGCTGGAATATACAACAACACCTGGTTACTAGAGTTTAAAAAGTTTGTTTAATGTAAAGACGCAGAAAAATGGCATAAAAACGAACAAACCTGTCACTGTGATGTTGATGCTGTCGCTGTACTCCCTCTGCTCGGACTCACACCAGTACACTCCTCTGTCAGTTGGGTAGGCATCCTCGATAGTGCAGGATGACTCACCTGGGATGGCCCAGCCAAACTCGCACACTTCAGATGTCGAATCGGAGGTGTTTCTTTTCACCATCCAGCCACTGGAGTTTACCTTCTCCTCACACCTCAGATAGATTTCTTCATACCGAAAGAACTGAGATCTGTTGGGACTGATGCTCAGTGCTGCTGCAAGGGGGGTGAAACCTGAAACAATTGTGAATGGATTTAATTTATTTGTGGTTAGTTGTAGAGATGTTTTTATACCATTCTGATACCTGAACTATTACTTATACTGCTCAGTAATGTTATTAATAGCAATTATGATTAATCTCTGTAGTTCTTGTGTTCTCACTCTCACACCTAAACCACACAGTTTCACAGAATTTTGTAATTTCCATAAAACTTTTGTTTTTGTTCATACGATACAAAATGCACGTACAGATACTTGTGTCAAGTGAAAAGTACAGACTCTGCAGGTGTGCAGTGCATGTTAACCTCTTCCAGGTCTATCACGTCTACATACAAACATTTTATGGCTTCATGTTGTACAATAATCCATCTACACAGTTGTGTTTTGTCTATGCGCAGACATGAAACATTTTGTTTGTCATCGTGCACTGTCACTAATAGAGTCATGTTTAGTTAAGTTTTAATCTCTTATGGTGCTCTGACACTGATTTGGCCAAGTAGTCAAGTCTATTACTGGTCATTTTGGAGCTGCATGCTTTTTCTTCTTTAATTTGCCACTAACATTACTTCATGTTTCGTCTGATTCTGATGGGAAGGCCCGCTTTGATCATCTCGCACTGGGCCCTGGCACTGACTCGTTAGGCCGCTGATCGGAGAGTTCTTTTCATTACATTAATGTGTCTCCTTGCTTCCCTTAATCGCTTCCTTTCCTTGCGTCTAAGCTCCAGTGAGGAAGTGAGATAGAGAAGCGAGGAAGAGACGCAAGGACAGAGAAACTGAAACTGCCCAATGAGGAATCCTTGCTTCAACAGTCAGTCTTAAGCAATTGCAGTTACTAATGTTCACAGAACCCCACATTTAAGAACAATTTAAAAACATTGCAGCTTTCATTTAGATATTTCCATTGTGTATTCCTGATTTTAATCGTCATTTAATATTCCTTTTAAATCTTATCATTAATGTACGTAGTGTTATTTATTGTGATTACTGATGCTATTTGTTTACTTGAAAAACAAACTGCTGCTTTTTGTGATGCTACAATACTTACACACAACGGTACATTACATTGCATCTGACCATGTAACTGTGTTTTGGTATATTATCTGCAGATCCCTACAACACTACAAAGTTGCATTTGGAAGCATCAGTTAATGAAAAGCAGCCAGAGTTAGGCGATTGCAGCTTTAAAAAGATTGCATCTTTAAAAATGATTCAGTTTTTGTGACTCCTCTTAACACATCACAGCTCCCCTCACTGAAATCCGTCTAACCAGGAAGGTGGCAAAGTTTACAATGATAGCTTTTGAATATTAATTTAGCATCTTAAATAACAAGGAAACTTGTGACAACTTTAGCTGTTCACACCTCTAGTTTGCTGAAACTGTACGATTTATTATAATATCTAGGTGATCAGTGCACACCTTTTGGTTTTGTTTCATTAAATTAAAAAATATGTTGATGTTTGATTTATCTGGATATTATTAACTAGAAAAGTCAATAAACATTAAGTGTTCAAGTGGTTGGCAGAAAAACAGAGTTCAGTTGACAAATTATTCAAAAAAAGTTGAATTACTCACAGAGCATTAGGCAGAGAGATGCAATCTCCATTTTGTGTCGATGTCTGTAGACAGGTTTTAACTAGCTGCCACCCACCACATCCTGGCTTCAAATGGCAGGAAATAAAGCAGCCACCAGCATTTCTTTGAAAGCAAAAACACATCACACTATTGAAGTACTATTAAGATTTCATTTGTGCCACCAAAAGTCTCACAGTTTGCCGATGACGTTTTACTAAGAGTCTCCAAATCAGTTTGTCGTGCTGTTGCTAAAAGCTTCAGAAACGTGACCGTGTGAATCAAACTCTACTTTGTCATAACAAAGTTCTCTCTCACCTCAAGCAAAAGACTGAAACCACAGGAGAGGAAATTTATTTTTGCTTCACATTTCAGATGAACAGGATGTGACACAGCCACATAATCACAAATACACTTGTTGGTTTTGTCCGGAGTGATTGAAAGTTTTTATGTAAAATATTGAAACACAGATCCTTCAGGTTCATCTTTACTGCACCAGAGAGGAAAGACACAAGAAACTGAATACTGAGAGAGTTAATGACAAATGACCCCTAAAGCCACAATCAATCATTGTCCAATCAGTGTCTCTGACTGTAACACAAGGAGAAGGCTAAGACCGCCATCTACTGGTATGTTGGAAGACCAGCAACCCCTATAGGAAGTCCATAAGAGAATACAACATTTGCAGTGCAGCAAAGGCACATTTTATTTGTATAGAACATTTCAACAAGTCAACTCAAAGTGCTTTACATAAAACATCAAAAACTATCAAGACAAAGTGTAAAAGCAACAGAAGGCGACATAGAAGACAATAAAAATGAGTTGAAAGTAAAAAATAAAGTACCAATGTATCAGCATGTTGGAAGGAGGCTCAATAACTCTACAAAGTCAGGCTACATTTTGGCAAAGGGATCCTATGACCCCTGACCTCAAGATGTCTGCATGAAAATAGGTTCTAATTGTTATAACCCACAGAAGACTGTCCACAAATGTGTGCCGCTCCCGTCTGCCCTGCTTACCTCACCTCAACTCATTCCCTCATTAGCCACTCTCTGCTTATATTAGTCCTCTCCTTTGTCCCTGTATAAGTTCATCAAAGTTACTGTGTTGCTCATGTCCTGAATCATGTGCATGTACCTGCCTGTAAGCTATTATAATTAGCTATTGAAAACATTCACATACGTGAAAGGCTTGAATGAGTGAAAAGTCAAAAAGGCAGTGTCCCTTTATCCCTGCTTTAGACACAGTATGCATTTCTGTGCCAACAAACAAACACGATGATGTGTTTTATCATGTCCTCTGTATTTCGGTGAAGTCTCAACATCCTGCTGTTTACTTGGACATAAAGTGTTTATAACAACCTGTTGAACTATGGAATGCTTGTCCCAGCTAGTGTAGTTCTGATTACTGAGTGGACCCTAAACTTCGCTCCCATGACGGGCAATTGGTTGGATTACACTGTTTAGTCTATATTCTTAAACAAATTATATTCTGCCCCTGCATTGCGTCACTACAGAGCAGAGCCACCAATGTGTGAAGAAACACTCACGCAAGTACAGACAAGTACAAAATGTTTGAATGCAGACCTTGTGATCTGTAAATGTTGATTCTGGCATATTCTTGACTAAAATGCAACTGTTGTTCAAAAGCTCTTAATGTGTTGATTTTATAGGGATAAAGATGTTGTCTCGGGTCCAGATTGACTGGATTGAATCTGTCCAATTGAACCTTCTCAGTGTCTAATTCCAGCTCAACTATATTGACTAAGCATGTCAAGACTTAATTTTAGGGTGAATGAAGATCTGATGAATATCTGGATATGACGTGGAGTCTATACTTGTGATGAGCTTAACCTCATGACAGGATATGATGAACTGGAGGAGGGCTGCAATGTTTTGCACTGATGATTCCACCCTGGGTACCTGAAGGGGGCAGAAACCTGAAAAACATCCCAGGTTATGCTCACAGGTATCATAGGAGGGAGGGAGAGAGCAGATGGAGTGTGATTGACACAAAGTAATATTTTAAATTGCCAACAACTGGAGTTTCTGGACATTTCATACAATGGATCCATATCTTTTTTGCTGAATTGGATTTAAACCGGCAGCTGCTTGATAAAACTTTATTTACTCTTTTTTGTTCTCAGCTCGGTGAGACTCTCAGTCCTTATCCAGGGGAATTTGATAATGTGATGTCATAATGTGATAGAAAGTCAATTCAGGTGCAGTGAATCGTTCACAAGTTCTTTTTGATATTTGTGCCTTCAGTACTTAAGACCACGATTTTATAAACCTGTATTATTGTGTACTTTTATTTCTATTACATTGTATAAGCTGCAGTTGGTAACTTTTATAAAAATAACCAATCAGCTATCTTTCTTTGCCCGGTGGATTCTTGCAAATACCATTAGGAGCACAAGGAGGAGCAAATTATCCGCTCATGTTCTACTGTCAGGGTTACAGACTGCAGCTTTAACCTTTGTTACTCAGTGTGCTGCTGTTTTAAAGGTCCAGTGTGTAACCTTTAGGAGGATCTGTTGTCAGAAATTGAATATACTGTATTATTTAAGGGCATTCGTGTATCTCCTGAAAATAAGAATTGTTGTGTTTTTGTGACCTTAGAATAGGTTGTTTTTATCTACAGAGGGAGCAGTGGAGTTCGCCATGTTCCTACAGTAGCTTCACAGCCACTGTAGTTTCTCCTACACATGTCATAGGTTGAGCTGCCACTAATACTGCACACTGGTCCTGTAATAATATGTTTGTATTGATTGCACTGTAGCCTGAATTGGGCTAAAAAAAAGGTGCACATTCAGCACAATCCTAACAGCAGTTTTATGTCTACACAGAGATGTATTTAATTCAGTCCTCATAATGTAATCTTTTCTGTGCAATTTAAACACTGCTGTCTGTTGGTATTTATCAGATAGTTGTATTTCACCCTCACCACTGTCAGGAACAAAGTCACAGAACACATAATGCAGAATTAAAGCGGAACATGTAGCCCTTCAGAATAAAATGGAGCCTGTGCGCCGGCATTAAGAGCCTTCTACCTCCGGGGGAAAGTGAAAGTAAACACAGAGTCGGAGGACGTGGATGGGCAGTCTGTCTGCCTCAACCGCTACTAATGATAACTGATTGTCTTTTCCAACGTGTGAAAGAGTCTCTCCAGTCTTTATCCAGTGGCCGAGATGAAGTTGCTGCTGGTTCTGATGTCCTCTCTCTCTCTGGTGGACGCTCCAGGTCGGTTTTTATTTTTCTTTTCTTCATAAAATCACTTCTGAAGACTCTTTATTTAACTCTTTAATTAACCGGTAATATTCTGGCCATTTCATTTCTTTATTAGATTCAGATGAACCTTTAAATCACATAAAGTAAAGTTTGCGTTCTCAGAGTAAGAGGACCCAGTTTTCATCAGATTTGTGACTGTGCAGCAGATTTAATCTGATTGTAGTTGACATTGTGGTCATTGGGATGAGCAGTAAAATCATCAGTCAAAGTAGGTATTTTGCTGTAAAATGTCCCCTGACTGATAGAATAGGCCATTAGATTGTAACACTGATGCTTGAATGAGCTAAGTAGTGCAGTTAGTGCAGCGGTTCCCAACCTGGGGTTGGAGTCCCTCCAAAAGCTCACCGGATAAATCTGATGGGGTCATGAAAGTATTAGGAAAGTTCTGATGCACAAATCTGTTTGTATATTGGATCATTTGTAGAGTGGTCACATTAATGTTGCAGAGTAAAAGGTACAATATGGAAATACTTTTCTTTCTTTCTTTTTTTACTACTGTTTTTTATTAAGTCACAAATCAGTTCAAGTATTAAAATAACTATGAAGTTGATGAAATAAATGTTAAGCATGTTCTCTGAGCTGTTCAAGCTGCCTAAACTGCCTGATTTGACTTCACAACAGCTTTTCTAAAAAATTGCGATGCCACAAAAGTTGATTGATAGTAGATTTTTGTTGTTGTTGTATCAGTCATCAAAAGGAAGCTTGTTAGAGTGAGAGTAAAATCACTGGTAGTTTGATGACTAAAATATGGAAAATTGTGGGGATTGGTTGAATTTGCGTTACTTCCCTGAGGGACTGATTGAGGAACAGTGTTTAATGATGCGGCAACAGGAAGTGTATATATGATGCTTGTTTCTTGTTTCTTGTTTCAGAGTCTGATGTGATTGGCTCACATAACCCAGTTACAGTAACACTCGGTGATAACGCCATCCTGCCATGTTACCTGGAGCCTCCATTCGATGTGAGGACTCTAACAGTGGAGTGGAAACGTGATGAACAATATGTCCACGTCAGCCGACATGGGAAGGACTATCTAGATGATCAGGATGAGAACTTCCGAGGTAGAACATCTGTCTTCCATGAAGAAATGATCTTTGGAAACATTTCACTAAAACTGACCAACGTAACTGAACTGGATGCTGGAAGTTACTCCTGCTTTGTTCCTAAACTACAAAGTCAGGCCAGGAGAGGCTTCATTAACCTCACTGTTGGTAATAAATAACACATTCAAATTTAAAAATGATTACATATTTGTAATGTGTTAGAAGTATTTTAACACAATTTAACTCAATTGTCCTACAGAGCCAGTGGAGCAGAAAAATGACAAAGGAAGTCAGACCAATAATACCAGTGAGTAATAACTGAGTTTTTATTTATTTGTATCCCCATTAACTGTCGTCTGCTCTTCCTGTTTATCAGAATTTTGTCACATATTTAAATATTTTATTTCTTTTTTTCCACAGACACAGAGCCAGGGAATCATGGTGAGTACAATATACGTTAATAGTTAATGTGCATATCTGCTAGTTTCACCTCCATCAGTGTGGTTTGAGATGATAATTGAGTTCATTTTTTGTTATACTGGCATCAAATTAAGGCTGAATCCAGAACTCCTCTAGTAACTTTTTAGTTTTAGCTTTGTTGTGGCCGAGCTTTAGATTTGAGTTAACAATATTTAAAGGTAATGATATTTCAGTGTGTTCAATCAAAAAGAAATAGCCTCTAACAAACAGATTTAAGTACATTGTGACCAAGAGAAGAAGTTGCTGTGGAAAATGGATGGATGTTGTCTTGCAGTCAACAGTGAAGAACAAATCGTGACACTTTTGTTCTGTTCTCTCAGGTGTTCTTGGCGCTGTTGCTATAACTGGCATTTCTGTAGCAGTCTGTGCTCTCCTTGCTGTTGGTATTGCTGCTGTATTATGGATGAAATATGGAAATCTCAGTAAGTCACACTTTTTCTTCTGTATTTCCTGTATCAGTGTACGTTCTATCTGCCCCTGCTGTTTCAGAGCTTTCTCACTATCCTGCTGTCTGATTATGATGGTTGATCTGGGACAAGCTCCTTTACTTGTAGTTCCTCACTGTCAATAACAACAAGTGTCATCACTCCACTGCTGACTGACTCTGCTTGGGCTGATAAAATAATCGCCCTTTTCACATCCTATTCTCACTTTTCCTCTAAACTCAACCCAGAGCACTCAAACTACAGAAAACACTCAGTTTGGAAATCACTGACTGATAACTTGGTTTGTGTTGTTGATATGTGTTCAGGAGGACAAGAGAGAGAATATCTTCCAGCACAGAGGGACAATGCTGGACTCTGATGTCAAAATGTGTTTTTTCTAAAGGTTCATGCAGTCAGTACACAATACAATCATGACTGAAGGCATGTCTGAGCTTTTCATTTGTATTCACTGTAAACTGGATGATGATAGCAGGTAACTCCTGTCTGAACTCATGGTGGCGCTATGGTCATCAGCAAAATCTCAGTACTGAGTGTGCAGTAAATTTTGTCTCCTGTCAGTGTTTTACTTTTGACTTGATGTTACTGCTGTGTAAGGTTGAGCTTATTTTAACTACTCTATACACAGTTGGGTAGTTTAATCTACAGCAATGCATCATATTCTATCAGATCATAATGTAGTTTAACATAGTTTTCCTGTAAGGTTCTCACCTGTAAAAAATCAGAAACAGCCTATTTTCAAATTTTACTTATACTTGAGTAAATGTACTTAGTTACATTCCACCACTAGACACATTACAGTAACAATAAACAGCTGTCTGACCTGTGATTACTGTCAGTATGACCAGTTACATTAGGCTGTATGTGTAAGATATTACAGGATAAACATTAAATAGAGCTACACTGAGACGTATCAATGAATTTATTTATTTTTCACTGTGATCTGTAAATACTGTAAAAACTTGTAAATGTGTTTGTTGGTTGAATATATTCTGAAAGGTTTATGAACGATGTCGACCTGAGGTACGTGTGCAAATGATTCCACTGGATGTCAGTAAATCCTTCACACTGGACCTTTAATAGTGTGTTTGTAGTGCGCCTCATGTTATCTAGCTTCATTTTCCACTTCAACATCTATTTTAAAAAGCAGTATACTGTATATATAAAATGGTTCTAGTTTTATACCAGCATGCTCAAAATCACACATGGAGGGTCATTTTTATAAACTGAAACATCTGGACACTAAGAGACTGAAATATCATCCTGAAACTGTGATTGTTGTTTGTTTATGAAAATAAATGTATTTTTTAACTTGTTCATGGCCTTTTTCTTACATTTTTAATTGATCAACATTTCCTCCCTCATTAAAGGACTTTTGGTTTAACACCAGTTCCTGAATTGGGCTAAAAAAGGTGCAAATTCAGCACAATCCTAACCACAATTTAGCTGTAACCGATACTTTTTGCTGTTTTCTCTGCATTAAACTAGCTATGTGTTTACAAAGAGACACAGTTACACAGGCAATAATTACCCCCTGTATTCTCCCCCTATTCTGCCCCTCACATTTATTTTTTCTAACTGTAACCATTTCTATATGGCTCTGAACCTAACCAACCAAACCAATGAAGGCAATGAACACGAGCCAATCAGAGGAGTGTTCTTATGAGGGTGCTGAGGAGTGTATACCTAGACTCACCAGGAGGTGGCACCACACAGTCAGAAGTAAGGGTGCTCATGTGGACAGAAATCACCAGTCCTCAGTACCTGTGAGCACTGGCTCCATTTCAGGCAGTAAAACTCATTTACATTCTGCTCCCAGTCACCATTTTAGTTCAGATGTTACTAAGTTGTTGAGTTTTAACTGCTCCATGATGTCCCATATACACAGCACTGCACTCTAGTTACACAGGAGGATGTAACAGGAAAGTTAGACACTATATTCACAGAGAATTTAACCATACATCTATTGTGTAACAGAGAGCAACAGTTACAATCTACACATTTCCAGATAGCTGGAGCTGTATGCAAGCTTGATTTGAGACATCACAAACAGTCAATCCTGGTCCAGTCTGCAACTTATATAAATGAAGCCTCCAGTGACACTGAGAATGGATCTACAGTGAAGTAGGAGACACACAATTTGCACATGATGTAGAAGTCTTTTTAATGATTTTCATGTGGAAATTATTTTCTTTTTTATGGATAAAAACACATCAGAGACACTTTATTGTTCCAAGCAGACTATTTGTATATTAATGCACATCTGGAGGGGATCTTTACATAAACCATGGAAGCAACATGTAGCTAAGACATAATACAAATAAGCAAATACAACATGTATTAAATAATATATATGAAAATGAATACTGCCTTTTCCCCGTCATATTGGCCAAAATACTGTACAAACAGGTTGTTCAATGTCACAAATTGTAGCTCCTCCTCCTCCTCTTCTTCTTCTCCTTGTTATTCCAGTAGGACATGATCAGATTCCTGCAGCTCCCCTTTTAGCATCAGCTCGAGCTGCAGGAGAACAGAGCAAAGAAAGTATTTTAACTATGAGTTAAAATCCCTGCTTTGCCACACCTGTCAGTCACCGGCCCTGAGACTCAGGCACAGTGAGTCTGTGTGAACAGAACGTTTAGCTTTGCTGTCACTTCCTGCTTTCTATTATTGTTACTGTGACAACGTCACCTCATCAGCCACAACCTGGCTGCAGCCTGTTTGTGGTTTCAACTATGTGGGTTTTCCGGTATCTTGAGCTGGCCCAGTTTTTACTGAGGTATGTCACCATGGAAACCTATGCTGCACAGCTAATCTGCCTGGGGTCAAACTTCAACAATAGGCAGACTGTTGACCAATCAAATCACTGGAACAACTGAATCATCCTTCCAACAGTTTCCTGACAGAGACTAAAGTGCCGACTTCACAATAAAGTGACGAGTAATAAAGAGATAAAGATACTTTCACAGGTCAGTTGGATCACCTGCTTCTCGTTTCCAAACACTGAAAGATTCCTGACAATGTTTTTACCCTTGACTGCAGCTCAGAATACCTGGTCCCTTCTGGTCAGAGTGGTTGCAGAGTATCTGGACAAATCCAGTAAGCTTGGCCCTGACCTCTGACCCCTTGTGGAGGTGGCCGGCAGATCAATACTTTCTGTTATTATTAGGGTTTTGAGAAGTGTTCTTACCTCGAGCCCACCTTCTGTACGTGTATACACAGAAGATGAGTATGGCATTGTAGAGGATGAACAGCAGGATGGTACACACCAGGTTGGGCAGAGACATCAGAGGAGGAGAAGGAGGAGGAGGAGGAGGAGAAGGAGAAAAACTTGTAGGCTGAGCTGCGAGAAAGAAAACGATCATCAGAGTTTCAAACATGAAACATAATCAGTTCTGTTCTCATCCAAATATCTGCATGTGAGTCCAGAATCTGGAGGCAAGGGACAAGATTTTGGTAAGGGAAGTGGATGTGGTTTATGTTTGTTGTGTGAGTTGTATTGACCAATCATGTCAACAGTCTGTATGGAGATCATCAATCATCTTACAATGATGTAGCCCTTTCTTAGCTTTTTAAAAATGGATGTATGATATCTGTTTATAGATATCAGCCGAGATTAACAAATTGGCATTTGTAGTTATGTACTATACAACCCGCCTTGGAACTAATGCCATATGTGTTGATAAGGATGGTAATAAAATAAAATCTAATGTTGTTGTTTAATTTATGTTTCTGTTTTTAGTGCCTTTTAACAAACACTATCTCCCCTAAGACTTAGAGCCCATGGGTCAAGGGGCCAAGTCCATGGGTAAGTCCAGCGGCCGTAGTTGAGATTTAGGCAGCAGAAGATAACAGCTAAAAAACTTGAAAATGACTAAAGAGTAGAGCTTAAATATCGTAGATATGGGCTGGGGACGCACCCATTGAGAAATTCTGGGCCGATAACTGATACATATATCTAAAATATCAGTTTGGCTTTTGACCAATGCCAATATCTGATGTTTTTTTGTTGATGTGTAAGTTCCCTTTTGTGCCAGGGCAACAAGGGAAAAAAATGCAATCTTGTAAAACTTAACAAAGATAAGGCAATACAAGGCAATACTAAAAAGCAGACGTCCCATCACACACACATTGAATACTGGAAGCAAAACATTTTGTCACCTCTCACAGCCAGCCAGCTCCGCTTTGACTTTCCTTTTCCGGGGTGTTCACACTCGTAGAAACCTTCGTCAGACTTGGACACCGATTTAAGGATAATCTCTCCTCTCTCAGTACCGATGAAAACATTAGCTCTGTAGAACGCAGCAGAGAAATCTGAAGTAGACTTTTCTTGGTCTTCTTCCTTGTAGGAACAGCGAAGTGTCACTTTATCTCCCACTGCCACAGGAAGTGAAGGGCTCTCCAGTATCACAACACCATCTGGAATATACAACAACACCTGACTACTAGGGCTTAACGTTTCTTTAAAGTCTACTGACCACAGCAGCATAGCAGCAACAGTGAGCTGGTAGTCAGAGCTAATGAGCAGCTACTATCAGACTCTCCGTCTCCATGATGGAAACACAGAGAGTCCGCTGGAGCTTTTATAGTCACTAGAAGCACATTCATGTTTGTTTTTAAAAAAATATGTGTGTGACTTGTGTTGTAGTTAACCTAGCGGCTATGTTGTAGCTAAGCTAATGACTCAGAGAGGCTAACTCTCTGGTATGTGTGTGTCTGTGAAGGGTGTGTCCGTTTGTGGGATCATCATCAAGGGAAATAACCAGTCCAAACCACGGCACCAAAATAATACAAACATACTAATTAGAGGGTTAGCAAAAATCACAAATTCCTGTGAATGATTCGTCTCAATCACTATACATTTAAAAATCAGTGCAGCTGTTTCACAGACACAAAGCGGAGGCTGGGGGAGGTGGGCCACATAAATTAGTCCCAAAGAGCTGACTCTATGTCAGCATTGGCCTTGCAAGGTTCAGTTTGATTTAAAACAATAGGGGGCGCATTGAACAGCTCAAAAACATGTTGATGATCATTTAACAATCCAGAAGATTCAAAACACAACCGCACACACACAAACAAGCTCCATGCACATTGGTATTACCTGTCACTGTGATGTTGATGCTGTTGCTGTACTCCCTCTGCTCAGACTCACACCAGTACACTCCGGTGTCAGATGGCAAGGCATCATCAATGGTACAGGAGGACTCACCTGGTTTCCCCCAGACTGTGCATGCCACAAACGACTTCAGTGAGGTAGTTCTTTTCACTGTCCAACCGCTGGAGTTTTCCTGCACCGGACACCTCATAGAGATTCTGTCATACTGAAAGAACTGAGATCTGTTGGGAGTGATGGTCAGTGTGGCTGCAAGGGGGGGTGAAACCTGCAATCATTTTGAATGCATTTCAATTATTTCTGTGCTGGCACTTCTGGGTTTAAATGTTGTTAAGGTGGTAACATTTAAAGCAGCATTCATTCAAGATTTTCTTTTGTTTTAATATTCAACTAAATGACTGTGTGTTGTGAAAGCAGTTGCTCAAAGTGAAGAACAATTAGTAGAATAATTAGCATGGACTCTGCAGCTTTACAGCACTCCTTAACCTCTTTAGGTCATTGTTTTGGTTTCACAGCACATTAATGAAGCTATAACATCGTTGTATTGTTTAGCAAATCTTGTTCCTAGCCTCAACAGGCAGCCACAGTAAACCCACTGTACAATACTTGTCCTGCATAAAACAGCAGGTAGACAAAGTTAGAGATTAGCTTGTGAAGAAAATAGAATATATTGTAGCTAAAGAGATAGACTTTGTCTTAAAAGTAGATATAAAGTAAACCAGAGAGTAAAAAAAAAAAGAAAATTGATCATATCGAGGTTCTCCTTACTATGACTGCAATTAGCATCTTCAAATACTACAACACAATGTTCACAATACCTAGGCCAGCAGGACACAACGTGGGTTGATTTATGAGCAAGCTCTGATTTAAAAAACAACAACAAATTGAATAAAAGTTCAGTGGTCGAGTGGTTGTCAGATGAGCGGAGAGAGAGAGAGCAGGAGGTAGATACATTTTTAAAAGTTACTTACAGAGCATTAGGCAGAGCGATGTGATCTCCATCGTGTGTCGATGCTGTGAGTCTTCCTCTATGTGTGTATAGAGAACCACATCCTGACCAAACACAGGAAGTCAAGACACCTGTGCAAGCACTGCTGGGTCTTAGTGGTGATCACAATACAGATTAATTTATACAGGTGCAACGTGTCTTTAAAATGACTGAAGCTTTGTGACCAAAACAGGTATTCAACAGGGTCAATGAACTTTGAAGCAGATGTCAGCATTTATTTAAAGTTATGATTTCATGCTGTCAGTAAGTGCTGAATGTCTCCATAGGATGTATTTCACTGTTTGCTGATGATGTTTTACTGGATGTATCCAGTAATCAATCCCACTTCTCATCTGTCTCATCTGCTTCAGAAACTTGAGTTTGAAGAATCAAACTCAACCTTGATGTAGTTCATTCTTTTATGTAAAACCACCCAATAAAAGACAAGAAAAGCTATCCGAGTCACATTTCAGTGAAACAGGATGTAAAGAAACCACATAAAGACATTGATTGACTCAAACAAAGTTAGACTGGAAACGATATTATGGGTACAAAATGTGCACAATAATACTAACCATCATTTTCGCCCACAGGCTGCCCCTCTCTGCCCCTGTTAAGTCATTTTTCATCAGCCAAGCCACTTGCCCCTTGTTCCTGAAACTAGGTTCTTTAGTTTGACTCAAATGTCCACAATCATTTTCAGTAAATATAACTTGGGCTGCAGAATCAGCCAATATTGTCACTCTTGTCTGACTGGAAAACCTTCACCAAACACAGTAGACTTTTATTAAAAAAGCAATCCTCTGGCCAACAATCAAACCACAACACCTCATCATACTTCACCATGAAACTAACAATGTGACGTGACAGCCCCAACCACATCTTTTCACTTCTTCTGTGATTTTTCTGAGTGGGAAATAAAAATCAGCTTGTAAGTTCACAATTGGCCTACATTAAAGTAAATTATTGCTAATTAAGTTGTGATTCATGAATTTCTTAAATAAAAGGGGGGTGCACCACAGAGGTGAGTTACAACTTACCTCTACCTAGCTGCACAGTAACCATGACGATGGGACTCGTCTTTGACCAGCCACTTGACCACCATCTGCTGGTATGATGGAAGACCTGCAACCACTACAGGAAGTCCCTGAGAGAACATTTACAAGATAATATGAGTTTAACAGGAACATTATTCAAACCAAACAAACTGGAAATCATTTCTGTAAATAACACTGATGAATAAGTTTTTTCTGTCACAACATTTGACCTTCTGAAACTGTCAGTCTTCATTACTGAACAACAAAGACTCAGTATCCACTTTATTAGGTACTATAAGACAACTGTTCTGCCATAAAGTTGACTTTATAATATCCAGAGGTGTTAACTCAGTTAGGCTACATGCCTATTACTGAGGTTCATTATTAAAGATAGTTTGTACTGGACTATATTCTATTATATTGAAAGGGGGGCAGAATATTGTAACATGTCTGAATATGACTACTTTCAGTGACCTCAATACTAAAACATAGAATTGACTGAACAGCTCTTTTACAGTGTGAACAAAAACTGAACATAAAATCAATTTTATATTATGATATATCGGACTGTATTAGACAGTTTCAACCCCAATTTGCTTCAGGTTCTCAGCCTTTTAAGGTCGTGACCAACAGAATAACCGGATCAGGGTTTTTTCCAGAGACTCTTCAGGCATTGCTGTAATGTAACACATGAAAGCAACAAAACTCAGGAACACAGAAGATAATTGCTTTAAGAGCAACTGGTTAAATGTTGGCTTTAATACATGCTTTTTATTTATTGAAATAACAACAGTCAACATGTCTGCTTTAGGCCTAAGAGCTCAATAAAAGATAGAAATAAATGCTCATGAGGAAACTGGCCCTGTTAACATGTATAAAAACAGAGTTTATAGCCTATAGTATTCTGTGTTTTTAAGTTCTTGTCCTCTGTGTTCAATGTTGCTGGATGTCACAATATCTTATTTTATTCTCTACAACTATACGGCGACCCCTCTGGAAATTAACTAATGAACCTTTTGGGGGTCCCAACCCCCAGGTTCAGAGGCAGCAAAACTGTACATTTTCTATTAATGTTAATGCTTTGTATGTTATTGTTCATCCTGAGCTGCAGCAGGCCCTGATGTAAAAGTTTTTTTGCAATTGTGCTGAGGTTAGTGGTTATTTTCTCATTTATTGTCAGCTTCCCTGCCACACTGGCCCACATTTATTCAAATATTTAAAAAGCTACAGTCATCACAGTTTTAATTTTGTGTCTTTAGATAAATGAGTCATCTGCTGGCATTATTGCCTCACAGCACGGAGAAAGTGAAACTAAAGTTTGTTCGTGGTCGGAGAGAGTTCACCTGGATCGTATATTTCTTTCACTTAATCTTTGACATAATGTGACATGAGCTCGCTGAGATCCACTGTGCCTGTTCTTCATCCAGAGATCATGATGAAGTTCTTTATTGTGGCTTTGCTGTCTTCTCTCCCTGCGGTGGGGGTTACAGGTGAGATTGTCCTGCTTTAGTGAACAGAAACAGTGCTGGATTCAGCTCTTCCTGCTTTTTGATGTGGGTAAACAATCTCAGACTGTTACAGTAAAATGCTATTCTGAAATGAATGCTGAGAATCAAATGCTGTTCTGTTTGATCTGTATTGGCTTCACAGTGAATTCCATTTTGGATTACACTTATTTATCAGCACATCGCCATTTTGAACGCATTCAGTCATAAACAATATAATCAGATGGTGTTATCAGAACTCGACGGACTTTATTTTATTGACTTCATCTGATACTCAGTTAATGTTTTCCTTATTTAAACACTCATCATTTTATCATAATAAAATGTCAGTATAACTATATAACTGCAATGTGTAAACACTGGGGACACTCATCTTCCCCTTAAACTAATATCTGACTCAGTGTGCAGACAGATCCTGTATTTACTGTTCAGAGGAACCAAGAACGACATTAGGAGGAAGTAACAATTTAGAATCTCTTATTACTGTTTGTGGCGATCAGCAGACATTTAGTAATACTAATAATAATACTAATAATAATCTACTAAAGTAATGTTTAACTATAGCAGGACTTGTTGAATGAGACAATGGGACTGCACACATGTGAACTGTACTGATATTGATAGTTAGACATAGACAGTTCTCAGTGCCAGAGCAGCAGCCTGTTACCTGTTGCACATGAACAACCTCCTGTATTATAGTGATGGGCAGATCGCACTGAGATCGATCTGATGGGCTGGTTATTCAAATTAGGAACACATTGTGAATAATAGCAGATTGATTGAGGGTGAATTAGTGTGTTTTTCCCCATTAGGAGAGACACTGTGCGCATTTATGCACGAGGCACAGCAGCATAACTTTATTGACATCTATACGTTTATTTAAATTTCGAAACATGCAGACAGGATGGTTAAAACCTTTCGCATCTCGACAGAAGAGACAACGATTTGTATTTATTGCTATTGTGACATGACAATAAATTATGTTAAGAGTATTTCTTGCTGACAGACAGACTCTCCACTCAAATGCAGTTTCCAGTCAATAACTGATACCCCATAAAAGCGCGTCGGTCAGTAAAGACTTCTCTTCTTCTTCTCCAGAGTATCTTCGCTCATAGCCCCTTGAGAGATCACACTGGGACAGCCTGTAAGATAGTGGACCAGAACATCTTCCGGTCAAAGCCAGGATCAAGGAGATGTAAAATAAGAGACTGGGTACTCATAGATAGACACTAAGACACAGAAAATAAACAGCATTCACAGCTGGAGATGTGACATCAGTACCTTAGTGGGACAAGAAAAGAGGAGAATAAAAGAAATGAATGGTGACTAAAGACCTAAAAGGCCTATGAGAAGCAGCTAAGCTGAATAAAAATCACATCATGTGTACACACACCAGTGACACTGGACCCAAACTACACCAGTATAAAGTATATTCATATAGAAAGAAAAAACTCGAAAGCTTCAAAAGGAAACAATGTTAATGTTTGTGTTGAATTCACAACACTGAAATCAGGAACCTGTGCTCTGCATGAGAATATGAACAGAATTCAATTATTATCAATATTGACTAACCTTGCATGTTCTTTGTTGTAGAATACTGAATGAAAGCTCATCTGGTCTAAATGTAATATTTGTTTCATCAGCAGACTCTGCGATATTTTGCTCTCCCAAGCCAGCAACAGCAGAACATTGTGAGGATGTGACTCTGCAGTGCCACCTTGATCCCCCTCAAGATGCGACTAATATGATGGTGGAGTGGCGTCATGGACACAATAATGACATTGTGCACCTGTATCGAGACAGAAAAGACAATCCTGCTGAGCAGAAGGAGCCCTTTGAAGGGCGAACTTCTCTCTTTCGTGAGGGGCTGACCAAAGGAAACCTGTCACTGAAACTCTCCACTGTAGCCCTCTCTGATGCTGGAAGATACAGATGTTCCATTCACACTGACAAACTGCAGAAGAGTTGTTATGTTAACCTCACTGTTGGTAGGTACACTGACACACACTATTTCCTGCACGTTAAAAGAGCGGAATTTTTGCATGTGGAGGAATTATTTTAACAGATTTAAAATTATTCAGCGCTTCAAACAGCAGCAACCTACCCCACATAAACAAATAAATAATACAAATAAATAAATATAGTGTGTAGAGATAAATCAATACATGTTGTTTAAACCTCAAAATGTTTCAAAACTTACCATCAACTCTATAAAAGATGGGATGTCAGACAATTGTCTACAACTTAATACTGACAAAACAGAAGTTCTTATATCCTCCCCAGATTGTGTTGTCCTGAAGGTTTATCCACTTTATTCATTAAACCTACTTTCTATAATGTAGGTGTTTCTTTGGGCCAGGCTTTGAATCTTGACCAGCATGTGAATTGTTTGGTTTGCTCCTGTTTCAACCAGCTGAGGAGCATCGTTAAACTTCGTTCAACAAATGAGTCCATAGCTGAGATGGAGAGGATTATACATGAATTCTTTTTCTGTTAAGGTTTCACTGGCCTATATTTTTAATAATGATCTTATTGTGTTCTCTTCTTCTGCAATGTTTTACTAGGGCCCAATTGGAGAATTAGCACAATGAAAAGTTTAAATTAATTGATCATGGTGAATTGGCAAAGGCAATCTACAGGACCAATGCAAAAACCTCTTGTTAAAAAAGGACCAAGGATCAATATAGTCAATAATGATAAATTAAAAAATGCCTTCATCTGCCCTGTAACAAATGTTTGTGATCGAATTGGGACATTGTTTGCTTCTGTGCTGGTATATTTAGATGGAAACTTGGCTACAGTTTGTTATAGGCCTGTGTACTGTGTACTAATGAAATATTTAGGTCCCAGTTAGGACTAGCTAGTCAGTGTTTAATGATGCTGCAACAGGAAGTGTAAATATGATGTTTGTTTCTGCAGGAGAGTCTAAAGTGATTGGCTCACATGACCCAGTTACAGTAAGAGTCGGTTATGACGTCATCCTGCCATGTCACCTGGAACCTCCATTCGACGTGAGGACTCTAACAGTGAAGTGGACACGAAATAAAACAGTTGTGCACGTCAGTCGACATGGGAATGACTATCTAAATGATCAGGATGAGAACTTCAGAAATAGAACATCTCTCTTCCATGAAGAAATGATCAATGGAAACATTTCACTAAAACTGATCAACGTAACTGAACTGGATGCTGGAAGTTACACCTGCAATGTTCCCTGTCTGCAAAGTCAGGTCAGGAGAGGCTTCATTAACCTCACTGTTGGTGAGTTCAACTAACCTAATACTTACTATTACTAAAATGAAATAAGACATTTATTTTGTATGTATTAAAGTATATCATTTCTTAAACACAATTCAACTCAATTTTCTACAGAGCCAGCGGACCAGACAGAAACCAAACAAAGTGAGTAAATATCTGAGTTCTGCTTATCTGTATCCTCATTATCTGTCACCAAATTAACAATCTTCCTGTTGGTCTGAATTTGACCACATATTTGAATATTTTTTACACAGAAAAAAAAGTCAGGGGATGCTGGTGAGTACAGTGTACACACTTGTGTCATTCGTAACTGTTAAATCTTCAAAATGTTAAAGCACATCTGCTGGGGGTGGTGAATTTGTTCATCTTGAAGGCAGGGGGGATGAAGAGGAGTGAGAGGAAGGTCAGGCGTATCTTCATTCAAGAGCGTGGTAACAAAACTATTTACGAATGTAAGTGGAAAGTTGTGTAACTGTATCTCAATCCGTGTGTGCATAATCAGATTTGTAAAAGAAAATACACTTAATTAATTGTTAGACAGAAGTGGGCGTGTCTCCTCACACACACTAATCTCCACAGGCATTTGTAGATAAGTGACATGTACAAAGAGCCAATTGAGAGTCCTGCCTGAGTTGTAACCGATTAATTGTCTGTATTTCCAGCTATTAGAGCAAATACTTAGACTTTTCAGCCATTAATATGTATGTCTGCATTTACAGATTCGTCCACACATTTACAAATCTCAATACATCTGCAAATATGAACAGATTTGGATTTTATTTTACACATTTGCAAATCAGATTACACAGATTGAGATACAGTTACACAACTCTGCACTTTTTTGTATTTATAAATAGTTTTGCTGGGATAAAACCCATACAGGAGGACACTGCAATGTGATTAAAACCACCCAGAAGATCATTTGTACCCACATCAGTGATTTACACCCCACCTCGAGATACTAAAAGGATACTAGAAGAAAGACCATCACAGCCATGGCCTGTCCACACTGCTGCCATCCAGCAGCTTCTTCTCTCAGGCTGTAAGGCTGCTGAATTCATTGTCAGCAATTCATCATGTAAAATTGGATTTTCTATTTTTATTTTATTTTTTTACTGTAGCCCAGAATGGACAAACCAAACACTGGCTGTGGGGCTGTTTTGGGAGTTTTACAACATCTGTAGTTTCTCCTACGGGCTTGGAAGGCTGTGTTGTATTTAGTTATTTGCTATCTGTAACTTCACCACTAGATGGCACTGAATCCTCCACAGCGGTCCTTTAAATAACCCTGGATCCTCGTATTTCTGGAGAATATTCTCACTGATAATACTGTTTGTTTACTGTTGTGCAATGAAAGAGATTCTAACCAACAGACAGTTTTGGTGGGATGGACTCCAAGTACACATTGAGACCATGAACAGGAGAAGTGGCTGTGGAAATATTGTTGATGGACGTTATCTTGGAACAGTGAAGAACAAATCTCAACATCTTTCCTCTGTTCTTTCAGGTGGTGGCACTGATTTTAGCACTGGTGCTATAACTGGCATTGTTGTTGGTGTCATTGCTGTCATTGTTGCAGTTGTTGTATTGTGGATGAATCGTAGAAAGATCAGTAAGTCAATTATCTTCTCTCTCTCCATTTTCTCCATTTAAAAAGACAGTTTACAGTTTTTCAGTCAGTCTTCAAACAACAGTGAACAGTGAAACAGGTTTTTCTTGCTGTAATGGTTCCTCCTGTTATACTGGACATTAAAGATCTCTTCCTAAAGTACTTTCAATGGAAGTGATGAGGGGAACAATCTACAGTCCTCCTTACATGGAAACATGTTTTCAGAAGTGTATCTAAAGCTAATATCAGCTAATATGTGTTTATAACTCCATCATGTATTTAGAAATCATTTATTGGGGGGTCTGCACCCTGCCTCTCATGTACAGTGTGTTTGAGCTTTCTCACTATCCTGCTGTCTGATTATGATGGTTGATCTGGGACAAGCTCCTTTACTTGTAGTTTCTCACTGTCAATAACAACAAGTGTCATCACTCCACTGCTGACTGACTCTGCTTGGGCTGATAAAATAATCGCCCTTTTCACATCCTATTCTCACTTTTCCTGCTTTATTCTTTGCTGATGATGCTACTCTACTGCAGGAGACTATGTTGAATGCTGCCATTTAATCATGACTTCCACAGAGCTTTAACCAAATTGAGCATAGCGTTAGTTCAGGCAGGGCACGAAGTCAGGCTTAGCTTTCAGTTACAGCTATATCATACGATCACAGCTAGTCATAAACATACATCAGCTGATTCCTCTAAGCTCCCCATTGGATACCATACACAGTCAGCTGACAGCTCACCTGATTTCCTCAAGCATCCAATTGGCAAACATCTACATGGCGCCTTATTTAAGCTGCTTTAGCATGCCTGCCTATCTCTGCTCCTTCTTCTACAAGCCCTTTGGACCCACCTCCACCACCAGCTCCTCCTTTTTATGTTGTTTCTAATTAATCAATGTAATTTTTGATTGCCATTGATGCTGCTCTGTTCTGTACCCTGGGGGTCTCTGCTGCCGCTCTCCTTGTCTTAAACTTTTCCATGTAGGCACATGGAAGGGCAGGGAGGTGTGCTCTCCCTGCCTTAAGGTTTTCCACGTAGGCACGCGGAAGGACAAGGAGGTCCCAGAACAGAGCCATACCGCCCAAATGTAAATTCTGCTTGGAATATAAGATATTTTGACGAAAGTGGTCCTGACTGAAGTGGTTTTAATGTCTAAACTTAAACATGTGTTGATCAGAGTGATCAAAGAACAGAAAATGCTCATGGGACATTTTGGAAGGCACTGACTAATAACTGGTTTTGTGTCTAACAGCGACGGACTGTGCAAGACCAAACACGACAGGACACAACGGGCAGAACAGGGAAGGTAGTCAGGAGGACAATGCAGAGGACAATGCAGAGGACAATGCAGAGGACAATGCTGAAGACAATGCAGAGGACAATGCTGAGGGTAACAATGCTGAGGACAGAGATGAGGGTAATGGTGAGAATATAGGTATGCTCAACTTAAGAAATGTCAACTAGCATTTGATGATGACTCTTGATTCTTTGACTCAGATACTGAATGAAAGAAAGGCTTTTCTAAGCTGTAATTATTTCAGCAAAATCTACTTAAAGTATCAGATGTAGAGACCAACGTCTCATTGTGCAGTAAAATGGTCCCTGTCAGTGTTTTACTGTTATATCTGATGTTTGGCATTAATATTACTGCTGCATTAATGTGTCTGTTGCATTGTAACTCTTTATACACTGTCTCCGTCCCGTGAGAACCACGTATCTGTAAAACGACCAAACACCAGCCTGGTTTCAGCGTTGTGACGACACATTTTACAGATAATCCAAGAGGGTTTTTTAATTATTTTTAATTTAATTTATTTTTTAATTATTCTCATCGAGGAACACTTCCTCTTCCAGTTCATCACAAACATTCAACATCAACACAGCTGGAGATATGCGGTTTTCATTGCACAGGAAGGTATTAAAAGCTGTATGAGATGTAGAAGATGAGAAGTTGTATAAAAATAAAAGTAAAATTGCACTGAAGTTCAGTATTTGAGTGCACACAGACAACAAGCAACTGACCTGTGATAACTGTCAGTATGTGTAAGATATTACAGGATAGACATTACATTTTATACTTTAATTGAGTTTTTTATTTTTTTTATTTTTACACAAATATCTGTATTTTCTACTCCTCCAGCTTTAATGCATTTGAAGGGAGCTATTGATTATTATTATTATTTGCGTCATTGGATATCTTCCCAACATCAAGACAAAACAGAGGAGAGAGGGAAATCGTTTTACTCTCTTTACTATATCTTTACTTTTATACTGTGAGTCCATTTTCAGTACCAGAATTAGTACTTTTAGTGTTTTTTATCTGTACGAATAAAGAATTATGTACTTTTGCTGAATGAGGGTCACACAGAGCAGAGTTATGTGTAATGTTTGAAGAAACACTTGAGCAAATACAGACAAGTTCAACCATTTCATCCAGAACTTCTTTCCATGTGAATGTTGATTGTGTAATATTCTTGATTAAAATGCAGCTGCAGGGAATTGTTCAGAAGTTCTTCCTGATGTGTTGATTGTATAAACCACTGCAGGGACAGAGTTGGTGTCTCAGGACCTGGTTTTAACTAGAATAAGTCTTATCTGTCTAATTGAACCTTCTCATTGTCAGTTTCCAGCTCCCTCTAGGGACTTGTTACTGTATAGGATTGATTTACCAGAGAGAGAAATAAAAAGCTTTTTTACTTAATTTTGTGTTTTTGCTTATGTTATCTTGTTTTTACTGCCCTGTGAAGAACTAACATCTATTTTAATACACATTGTACTACTACTAGACTGCATTTTATATACAGTATATTGTTCTTATTCAACCTTTTGACCAAAATCACTTATAACAGCTGTCAGTTCTGTAAACTGTGAATCATCTGGACACTAGGAGGCTGAAACTGTGATTGTTGTTTGTTAATAAAAATGTTTTTAACTTGTACCTGACATTTTGTTCTTATTTGGTCTGATATTTTGGGGAAGTGCAGAATCTTTAAGTTTATTGCAGCTGACCAATTAATGTTCTACGACACTGAAATGAAAGAAGAAAATCAAAGTCGGTATGAGTCATATTTATACTATAATGGTGTATAACTTGCAGTCATTGATAGTAGAATATAATACAAAAAACTTCACAGAGGTTACAAAACAGAATAGATTTTGAGATGCAGCTTAATGATCATTTTAGATTAGATTCAACTTTATTGTCATTGCACAAAGTATAAGTACTGAGACAGTGAAATGCAGTTGAGGATCTAACCAGAAGTGCAAAAAGCAGTAATTTACATATATACAGGGCAAAAATATATATATATAACTATATATATATATATATATATATATATGTGTGTGTGTGAATATGCTAGCAAGATATGTACAGCATTGACAGAATGAACGGAGTGAAGTGAATACACTAAGATATACACAGCTTGTGTGGCACCAGCAACAGTCACAATTGCAAAGAGTATGAAAAAGTGTAATTATATACTGTGGGTTAATTAAGTTAAGATATGTACAGTTTGAACAGTATTAGCAGTATTTATATAGTGCGGATATTAATGCAAGTATTAAATTGGTTGACATTTGACCATCTCCACCCGGCTTCAGGTTTCCAATTGATGACCAAGGATCACTCTTTTGTTCACCCTGACATCAGAGACTGCACTGGACGGAGACTTTACGGACTTCGGACAAAGACGGGAGTTTCAACAGCAACCAACAGTACAGCAGGCAAGGAAGGACTGTATCGGCCGGTACACCTCTTCCCTCTCTCTCTACAATCTGGACATTCAACCACTCAGCTACAAACCTTTGATCAGGGGTTTGACATTTTAATCAATTTACTTAATATCAGGAACATAGTTAATCTTTATCAGTAGATGTGAATAATCAATTTATGCTGTATGCTTGCCCTTGCTAAATGCAATAAAAAAATAACCATAGGAGTTAAGTATAAACTGTGGACACTGGATTTATGATATCTCATCAGGCAGTAATTATTAGGTAGTGTGTTTAACAATTTAACGGTTCTAACAGGTTACTCTAGCCAAAGAAATTAAACAGACCCTTGAGGCTTACTGTACAAGCCACTAAAATAATACTAGCAACTAACAAGTGCACAGATCAGTAAGGGAGGAGGTCAGACAGTCTGTGACCTGGGTGGGAGGTGTCCCTTACAATGCTGTATGTCCTCCGCAGACACTGCTTGCTCTGGACAGCCTTCATGGTGGGAAGAGGTGAACCGGTGATTCGCTGGGCAGGTTTTCCTAAGTTTGCACCCTCTCACTCTGGCTCTTGTCCCTTTACATCAAACTACAGCTCAGTTAACATTCAAAATATGCAGCCGACACAACTACATTCAGACTCATAACCTACGACAGCAAAGACCAATATCGTGAACAAGTAGCCCCTTGGTGCCTGGCGAACAACCTTCTGCTCAACACATCCAAAACACATGAAGTCATTATAGATATCAGGCACAGCCTCCTCCCCAAAACCACCATTATTTTCACAGGTGAACCCATAACCATCACAGACGCATTCAAATTTCTTGCCACACATATCAGCATCACACTCAAATGGAATGTCAAAACAGAAAAACATACTCACCTCATTCAGAACAGTTTGGTACGTTCGCGCGGACAGCCACATACAAAAACTGCGGTAAATCATCTAAGACTATTAGCACCCACCACCCATCTGTTGAACCACTAACACACAGTAAAAAGAGCTAAACGGATCATCTCTGACCCCTTTTACCCTGCCCTCCAGGAGGCACTAAAGATCCCTGCCAACCAAATAATGCCGTTTTTCCACCACTGCAATAAGATCTCTCACTGATCCTGACAAATGAGCCTGCACTTAAAACCTAAAATCCTGTAAATATTGTCCTGTTGTAATCATGAATGTTGTCTGTTATGCCTCATTGTGTCTGTCTATATATATATCTGTCTATGTTTGATGTTACTTGACACTGTTGCATTGAGCCTACCTACCTGTGTGGTCATTGATAAATGAATGATTGATTTAAGCACAGTGCTCTGATTACCTTTCAAAGCAGTTTATTGTTCTTTCCTTTGAAAGTTAAGTTGAAAGTTAAATCCTCCTGTTTTTTTTTTTTAATCTTAATCCTTTTCTTATTGGCTATAGTCTTTGTGTTACTCAAAAGTTAAAAGTCAAATTACAAACTGTTTCAATTGCCTGGGAAGCAAATAATAATGATATTCCAACTGTCCAGTTAAATCAAATCTGTTATCTGGCATTCCAGCAACCATTACATGCTTTTGTAATGACATAACACAGAATATTATTAGTGATAATAGTAGCAGTAGTAGTCTTTATTATTATTATATACAGAATAAAATCAAAATTAATTTAAGGGAAGACAATTAGCCTACATTTTATTTGGGGTTGTAAAGGGACCTGGATAACAGATAGGAGGACGCTGCCCAAAAAAAAAAGTGGAGAACCACTGTCTAAAAAGTTAACTTTTCATTAGCTCAGAAAAACAGATTGATTATTTATTGTGCTCTATAGAGGAAGTACAGCAGGATAGAATCAATAAAACTTTGGATGTGGGGAAATAAGGAGTAGTGAGCCTGTTGCAAGTGTCAAAGATGAGCTCCTTCATCCTGGTGTTGTTGAGGCATAGGTCATTACCTATGCACCACTGGGTGAAGAGTTGCCCACTGATTGTCATCATAATGCATCTTAATGGGTTGAGGCATCAGCCTCTGAAATGTAAAAAATGTCAGCTAATACAAACACTGTTACATGGGAATAAGAAAAATAACATATATAGCATCAAGCTTATTGACAATTTGACATTTGCCACTTTTTTGTCTGTTTAAACATAAAATTCCTCAGATGCAAGAACCAGATTGTTTTAAAACGGTTTAGTGCGAGCATAATGGTCCTCCTCAACTCAAAATCTTTTTCTTTTTGGATATTTGATCTTTACTGTACAGATTGATAAGTGTGCATGTGTGCAGAGTTTGACACTAGAAGGATGTTTTCACATTCGTGAAAGTGGAAAGTTTCTCTGTGCTCATTGAAAATCAGATTTTAAGGGGCATTATGTATGACCGTACATCACAAATAGTTTGGAAGTCAAACCTGGTCCAGTCTGTAACTTAGACTAGTGAAGCCACCATTGCACATACACTGAGAATGGATCTACAGTGAAGTAGGAGACATCTTGTGTCCAACAGGAAAACGTTACAAATGAACAGAATTTGAAGGTAGAAGGAGTAGATGAATGGATTTTAATGTTTCTTGTTCAATGTCACAAATTGTAGCTCCTCCTCCTTCTCTTCTTCTTCTCCTTGTTATTCCAGTAGGACATGATCAGATTCCTGCAGCTCCCCTTTTAGCATTAGCTCGAGCTGTAGGAGAACAGAGCAAAGAAAGTATTTTAACTATGGCACAGTGAGTCTGTGTGAACAGAACGTTTAGCTTTGCTGTCACTTCCTGCTTTCTATTATTGTTACTGTGACAACCTCACCTCGTCAGCCACAACCTGGCTGCAGCCTGTTTGTGGTTTCAACTATGTGGGTTTTCCGGTATCTCAAACTGGCCCAGTTTTTACTGAGGTATGTCACCATGGAAACCTATGCTGCACAGCTAATCTGATGGGGGCAAACTTAAACAATAGGCAGACTGTTGACCAATCAAATCACTGGAACAACTGAATCATCCTTCCAACAGTTTCCTGACAGAGACTAAAGTGCCGACTTCACAATAAAGTGACGAGTAATAAAGAGATAAAGATACTTTCACAGGTCAGTTGGATCACCTGCTTCTCATGTTTCCAAACACTGAAAGATTCCTGACAATGTTTTTACCCTTGACTGCAGCTCAGAATACCTGGTCCCTTCTGGTCAGAGTGGTTGCAGAGTATCTGGACAAATCCAGTAAGCTTGGCCCTGACCTCTGACCCCTTGTGGAGGTGGCCGGCAGATCAATACTTTCTGTTATTATTAGGGTTTTGAGAAGTGTTCTTACCTCGAGCCCACCTTCTGTACGTGTATACACAGAAGATGAGTATGGCATTGTAGAGGATGAACAGCAGGATGGGACACACCAGGTTGGGCAGAGACATGACAGCAGGAGGAGGAGGAGGAGGAGGAGGAGGAGGACAAGAAGGAGGAGGAGGAGGAGGAGGAGGAGGAGGACAAGAAGGAGGAGGAGGAGGAGGAGGAGGACAAGAAGGAGGAGGACAAGAAGGAGGAGGAGGCGGAGGAGGAGCAAAACCTGTAGGCTGAGCTGTGAGAAAGAAAACAATCATCAGAGTTTCAAACATGAAACATAATCAGTTCTGTTCTCATCCAAATATCTGCATGTGAGTCCAGAATCTAGAGGCAAGGGACAAGATTTTGGTAAGGGAAGCGGCTGTGGTTTATGTTCGTTGAGTTGTATTGACCAATCATGTTTGAGAATGAGACTGCTATAATTCATTGTTCATAGAAGGAACAATGCATGATGCATTAATTGCACCAGAAATAGCTTAAAGCTAATTCCCATGTGTAGTCCCAGGCATTGACAGTTGTAGTTAAATAACTATACAACCAGCCTTGGAACAAATGCCATATGTGTAGATAAGGATGGGATATACAAAAAATATCTAAAATATCAGTTTGGCTTTTGAACAATGCCAATATCTGATGGTTTTTTATTGTTGTGTATGTTCCCTTTTGTGCCAGGGCAACAAGGGAAAAAAGCAATCTTGTAAATCTTAACAAACATAAAGCAATGCTAAAAACTAGAGCAGATGTCCCATCACACATGCACTGAATATTAGAAGCAGAACATTGTGTCACCTCTCACAGCCAGCCAGCTCCGCTTTGACTTTCCTTTTCTGGGGTGTTCACACTCGTAGAAACCTTCGTCAGACTTGGACACCGATTGAAGGATAATCTCTCCTCTCTCAGTACCGATGAAAAC